CGTAAAAAGTCTCTAGATAAAGAAAGCGTTAGTTCTGATGAACAATCGAGAGAAGCTAAAAGACAGAAGGTGGATTCGCCGTCGTCATCAACAATAAAAGGAACGACTAATACTTCAAAAGTCAATGAGAAACCAATACCAGTGGTACATAGTGGGACTTCCAAAGAGTCATCAAAAACGACTATCTCTAATAATAACAATACATTGGCATCTTTATTAGAGTATAGTGATGATAGTAATAACGACGAAAGTAATAGTGATAATGATAAATTGTAATCTTATACCGCTAATAAATCACGTATAATATTCATGTATACAAAATGTTTAGATAGTTCAACTTCAAATAGCTTTCATTATGTATTTTGTAAAATAACTATTTATTCAATTATTCAATTTCATTATTTCATTATTGCTTATAATTATAAACTTTACAAGAAATGAGATTATAATTTTTTTATGTACTTTTTTAAAATATTTGATTAAATAATTTTTGATAATCAATATTTTACTTTTTTTTTTTTTTTCCTGTAGTCAAACAAGTGCATATGTTTATTAAATCTTTACAAAAAACAAATAATGTATAATATATTGTATTGTATAAATTATTCTATTGCCTTGAATACTTGTCTTAGATTATATCTCTAAGCATGACTTTGGAGATGAAAAAAGTTGTTATCTTGATCCTCTATTCACTTCTGAAATTTGAAGGTAAGAATCATTGCCCACAGTTCATTACTATGGTTCATTTAAACAAAATCTAGATTACTTATTATATTTTCAATTACTTTTTCCCTTTTTTGATCCATCTCCAAATTGCTATTTTGCTTTGGTCTTGACTTTAATTTGGTTTTTTATTTATGGCTTCTTTTTGATTTGCAGGGTCTTTTGCTTCATATTCTTCTTGCTCTTCTGATTCTACTTTCTTCTTTTTTCCAATCTTTATGTAATTACTTTTCTAATGTTTCTTAGTTTCTGACTTTTCTCCTAAATCTTGTAACTTGAAATAGTAATTCAAATTATTAATTAAAAAATCAACTAATTGATAACCAATCAACTAATCAATTAAAAAAATTGTTAAATTAATTAATTAATTAATTATCAACTAATTCAATTACAACTAATTATTAATCATCAATTAGTTAATAATTATATAATTAATTAATGAATTAAAATTAAATTCATATAATATATAAATAAATCAATAATATTATATATATACATATATACATATTTTTTATTTATTTATGATGATAACTTTAGTAACTTTATTTCTTTATCTAATAAAGATGAAGAAAAAAGCAATAATAATAATGAGTTATTATCTATTTCTATTCAAAGTTTTAATAATTTATCAAAAAACAAATTTAAAAAAAAAGTTTTTTTTTTTTTTTTTTTTAAAATAGGTAGCATATACCTTGTTTATTAAATTTATTTCGAGAAACTGCAAATTCGTTTTATACAAAATTTTTTTACTCTATCTATTTAATAAACCCATTAAGAATTAATCCTACCATGTGGCTTATTGCTTATATATTAGTATATACTCAGCTAATTTGCCAAGATTCTATCAATCCCTATTAAAATTAATTTTGAAGATATATATTATGTTCCAATTGATCCAGTTTTTACTGGTATATTCCATTATTGTGTTAATCCTATATTCATATGATTTGTTTATTTATGTATTTTTTATAAATGTTTTCTATTTGTTTTTGTCTTGTTTTTTGAATATTTTCGCTTTTTTTTTTCCATTTTCTGAATTTTGTGCATTGGGTTCTCCACTTTTGTTCTAGCTCTTCTAGGAATCTTTCAAAAATCTTTTTGATCATTTGATTTCTTATTTCTACTTCTGTATATTTTTTGATTATTTTAATTGTTCCTATTGTCATTGCTTCCCTATATATGTTGTTTGTAATTTCTTGAGTTTATATGTTGATATGTTTACTGAATTCTAAGTTTAAATTACTTTTTATTTTTTTTCTTGTTCTGCTGCTTACTTCTTCATTTATAATTTGTTTAAGTTGCTGGATTGGATCTGTCTTATTTTCTGTATATCGTATCATATGTATATTGGTTTCAACTTTTATATTACATCTTGGGCATATGTTATCTTTATATGTTTCTGCTATTCTTTTGTGAAGCTTATCCTTAGTTGGTAATTTTTAATTTCAAAGTTTCCATTTAAATGCTCTTTTGTTATAGTCTTTACTATTGGTTGTTCCTGTTGTAATTCTTGATGGATGTTTGTTTTGTAAAGAGTCTTCTTATGCTATATTTGTTCTGGTGTGTTGATTGATTGTTGTTAGGTTACGGTTTAACATTCTTCAATTAACTATGTATTTTGCTCTTGTTATGTCTTTGACTGTTTGTGTAATTATATTGCTTAGTACCTGTCTATTTCATTATTGTATTCAATTTAGGATCTGATTTTGTATGTTTTTAATAATGATTTCTTCTGCTTTGGTTAGGTCACATACTTCTTTTGCCAACTGGTCTACAAGGTCATTGTTATGTTCTTGGCTATATGCTTTGACTTTTT